TATAAAATATGACAACTATTTTGAGTTTGCAAAACTGCAGGCCACACTAAGTGATTGCAGCTGGTGACTTTTGTTTTTATTTTAAAAGACAAAAAACTCAAATGATATTTTTCAAATAAGTTGCTAAACTTACAATATCAAGCTATGCAGTCCTGATTACTAAAATAACCCCCTTAGATAGTTGTTACTTAGCTTTTCTTCCTTCCATAAGCTATTAAAGGCCAATATGCTGTGCATATATCTATACTACAACATACAGCACACAACCTAGAAATATAAATGATTATAAAGTATGATAAAATAATAATAAAAACCATAAAGATCAAATGTTTGTTTACTGATGCATAACAGATTGGCAAAAGGAGGATGAATTATGTTTAAATGGTTTCCATGTCAGTATGTTACAGATCTTTCCCACAGTACCAACAGCAGACCCACATACTTAGATAGTGTACCAGACACACACTTAAATCTGCATGCTGCATTTTGTGAGAGAGCATGTAACCATTTTACAGGTACAAATATCTAGTCATACACATATATAAAAAGAAACACATTGGATACCTGGGCAAATATTACTACATATATATCATTAAAACTCCAAACAGAACATCCATGTGTTGATTTATGAAGGTGTCAACCTTCCTAGAGTACAAACAACTGTCTATAGTGCAAGGGAAAAAGTACTTCTAAAATAAAACAGATATTTCACTTGGCTCAAGCTAAGTTTCAGCATCTGATGGTAATGATATTATAAAATGACTACTGGACAAACCTCATAAATAACTATACTGTGAGGTTTCCAGACAGATAGAAGGCTGGGACCTGCTGGTTATTGCAGTGCTACATCTTGTTGAAGCAGGAAAACACACAACCCTAAAGTGCACAGTCTCAGTGAAAAGTAGGGAAATTTTTCAGTCTGATCTTGTCTCTTTCATAGTGTTGGCATCATATTTTTTCCTTTCTGGGAATAAGTAGCAGTCTGCTTTTACAGTGGGAATTTCCTTTCATTACATTTAGTCAGGCTAAAAATATCTACCTGAACATCACAGCAGTGTTTTCTATAAAGATTTTCTCATTCCCACTATGAACAATCCTATTTAGCACCAAGCCATGACTCAAACTCAGAACACAAATCTTTTAGCAACATCAATAAACATCAACATCAATAAATCCCTTACTGTATAAAATATGTAATGTAAACTACATACTACACACTATTACTATATATTGGAATAGCGACACATTTCATTTTCTTTAAAGTGAAGCAGCATTTAAGGGACTTCTACATCTGAATAAAAAGAGACAGGTTTATAACATGCAAATAAACAGATTTCTGTCAAAATAAAGTAAACACAGTCTGTTTCAATATAATCTGTCTAAATAATATTGTCCAGATAACTAGATAATAAAGACCACTGAGTGAGGCAAGATAATATCTGAAGTCAAGTGGTCTGAGGTATTCCAGCCAGCCTGGGTCATTGGCACTTCTCTCCTGTTCTTTTCCTTCCATGTTTTGACACATTAATATTCACCATATGCCCTGTCAGATCGATCACAGGCGCGCTTCATTTTTACGCTTCTGCGGTGTGGGCAAACAGTGTGTACAGCTGCTGCCGTCAAAAGCTCTTTTGCCTGTGCCTTGGCTCGCATGTGTAACCAAACAGGCCTGTGTCAGAAACCAGGAATCCACAAGCCGAGCCAACCACTTCAGTAAGCATTTTCCTACAAAGACACTGCTCTAAATGGGAGCAATCTATACTTTGCTTCATCTGACATTTCAGCAGCACCTTGATATGACTACAACAAAAGAAACCGGTGTGATTATGTGACTGGCAAATATTCTTTTGTGATACCACTAACCCATTCACGACAAAATAATATGTACCATGTACAAGGTTTTCCAAATTTGAGTCACAAGACATATAACAGAAATCCCTTTTCCGACTTCCTAATTTCCTTCCTCCTACCTTTGCTCCACTTACAGAATTACGGTTGTGGTGCTCCACTGGGAAGAATTTATGTAACCACACCGCTTGGTAAAACTGCAGGAGGACAAAAATTTCTCTCTCTTTCTTGCTGTTTTTGTAGCACAATGTAGCTGTCTGGACAGAAGTAGGCCATTTTCAACTGACAACAATAAACTCTGCTGAACATCTGCATCACATAGTACAAACGATAACTCAGACAGAAAAGGAGGGGCAAAAGACACACAGCACACAGCCTGAAACGCAGTTACAGTAAGGCTGACATTCTGGGCAGAGTTTAGTTAATCTGACTCTATTTTATTTTGATACTAAGTGATTGCATATTCATGCTGAATGCCTAGTAGATTTGTTGTGATTTTATTTTGTATTTAACCTTGCCTAGGAACTACACTTTGCTCACACAAAGATAGGCTATGAATGCTCTCTGTCTCTCTCTTTTCCAACATCACAGATATCCTGACCTTAATGTTGAGATCTCAACATTCAAAAGGAGCTAACGCAGAAAATGGGCTAAAGGCCAAATCATAAACGTGTGCCCCCGGCCCTATTCTCAGTTTCTTTTTTTGCCCACTCCGATACCACATGATTTCAGAAGCCATGCAGATCACTATTGTCCCTCACACACAGGTGTTGCCCCAGAGCGCTGTTCACCATCTTGAGCCTTCATCTTTGTTTATAGTACTTTGTTAACTCCAGTTTGGTTCCCTTCCCTGTTGTTTCTCAAATACATACAATGTACATACACATACAGTATATATACATAATGTACACTTCACAGCTGTAGATAGATCACCATTTAGCAATGTTTTCATATTTTTGTGTCTTGGTTGTAATACTCTACGGTGTTAGTTGTCCATTTAATGCAACTGGTGTATAATAAACCTTGTTATATTTTAATGAGTGGTGATTCTTTAGATTTTTGCATTAATGTCAACTGAAGCCAGCCTCTGCCATAAATGAACTCTGAAATGCCTTCACTGCATTACTATTCCATTGGTGGTTGTAAATTTAAATGCAAATATTTCCTAATTTCCATTTATTTTGTCATTTTAATTATTAGTTAAAATTCCAAACTGTGGCTTATCATTTAGTAGATTGCTTTGAATACATTCCGGTGGTCTCCATTGTGAGTTTTGGTCATAGTACCTACAATATATACAGTATATAAACAGATTAGCATCATAATTCTTGTCTTGAACTTTGCTGATTCCTGTCAGCTGTGGCCTGCCTTTGCCTGCAGTAGTATAGCTTTCTAGAAGTCTCTATTTTGGCTTAAAACCCACTAGGTAAAGGAAGCAGTGGTGACATTTTCTTACCTTGAGGTACTTGACTAATTTCTGGATCTGCCAATATTCAGCGGGCAGGTCTATGTTGTTCTCTGGACGGCGCTCCAGCTGTTCGTCTTCCTCCTCACTCTCAGATGAACTCTCACTGAAAGTTTCCACTTGCATAGCTCTTGCTGGGTCCTTACTAAATAAAAGAGAGCAGATAAGTGTGCTTTTGACCACCTGGAGCAGAAGAGGACATCTGTAAGGATGCTTTTTGTTGATTACAGCTCTGCTTTTAACACCGTTGTCCCCAGCATGCTAGTCACAAAAATGCTGGACCTGGGTCTCAGCAACCAACTGCATCTGTTGATCAAGGACTTTCCCAGTGACTGCTCGCAGACAGTGAGACTGAGCACTCACAGCTCTACGACCTTGACCTCCTTGTACTTCCAGACTCAGGAATAGCTTTTAAGCAAAAGCTATCAGTGAACTGAACTCACACCCCCTACTTCCCACCCCTCCACTGCCACTACATCAATCTGAAACTAATATTCTTCGCTACCTGAGTCAAAGGTTTGGACACATGCACAGAGAGGAAAACCCGTTACAAAGGGATAAGACGTAACAAGATGGCGCCAGTGTGTGCAGCTGCTCGTCTGTTGCTCTTACTTTGGTCGATGTTTGTTTTAATTTTAATTGTTGGAACTATACGGACTCAGTCTCTGCTGGTGTATGATCGCCGATTCCTTTTGGATCTTCAATTTAAAGTTGGTAACTTATGTGTACTTGATCGGGATGGGCATAAGACTGTTCCCCCGGTTTTGTCTGGGATTCCGGCCCATCTCCTTCAGGCTTCGGCTCTGCTTCCCTGGTGGAAACGTCCCCGTCATCGGGGTAGGCATAGTGGAAGGTTAGTGAAGCTGAAGACCCACCTGATGTGCTCCCCTTCTTTCCTTCGGACGGATTGGGAACTGTGTTCTTTCTTCGTGGTGTCTCGACGTTTCCTGGATCCTACCGATGCCTGTTTGGTGCCTACTGTGGGTGGCGATGAAGGTCCCCGGTCTGTTAGGCCCTGTTTTTCTCGGCTCCGACGGCGTAGAATGGATTGTCATGTTTTGAAGACACTTCAACCAGTTTCCCGGCCGGCAGTGTCACAGGCCCAGGACCTGGTAAGGATTGGCCTGGTGAATGCTCGGTCGTTAAAGAATAAAACTTTTATTCTGAGAGACTTTTTTAGTTCCCGGGACTTGGATTTTCTCTTTTTGACAGAGACATGGGTTGATGCTGGTGAGTTTAGTACTTTTAATGAACTTTTGCCGGCTGGACGTTTTTATTTTAGCTCACCGCGGATGTCTGGCCTTGGAGGTGGGACAGCATCTATTTTTAAGAACAATTTTACCTGTAAACAGTGCACACTATCATTACCCTCATTTTCTAGTTTTGAACTGACTGTATTTGAGGTGGGTCGGTCTGATCCAGTACTGTGTGCTGTTATTTATAGGCCACCCAAATATAATAAGAAGTTTGTGGACGACTTCTCGGATTTTTTGACTGGTATTATGCCCTATTATGATCATATTCTTTTATTGGGTGATTTTAATATACATGTGTGTTGCCCAGATAAACCACTGGTGAAAGAATAGAGGGGCTCAGTTCCTGGTTCGACCTTTCCTGTCGCTCCATAATGGATTTGGTGGCCCCGCCGAAAACTCAGCAACCGAGGGCAAGACTGGAACCCTGGTTTGGCACTAAAACTCGAGCAGCCAGACAATCCTGCCGTAAGGCGGAGCGTCGGTGGAAGAAGGACGGACTACAGGGG